CATAAATTATAAAAATATGATTGAAAACTTACTTTTATGAAAACTAAGGATTAATCTAAATCAATTTAAAATATTTATAGGCCATCATATAATATAAATGCTGGTATAAATTTATATGAGAAGGATAAATGCGACGTCAATATAGTTTGTTAGGGTTATGACTGCTTTAAGGTTAACGCTCTTCACTTTTAGGGTTTAGTTTTTTTTAATTGGAAACAAAAAATTAATGTATTTTTTAGTATGTTTTTAGTTTGTTGTTCTCACATATTGATTTAATGAATTTTTAATTTTTTAAAAATATAAATGGTATATGTACTTCAGATAATTGTTAAATGTAGACATATATACAATAAAAAAGATTAATAATTTATTTAAACATTTAAGTTTATGTATTAGAACTTAATATCTTAATTTAATAAAAGTTTAAAACGTGTTTTTGTTAAATGTTTTTTCTATAAACGAGTTTAATATCTTAATTTAATAAGTTTAATTTATATAGAAAAATAGCAAAACTTATTTATATCAAACCCACAGTCATAAGTTATTTTTATTATAAATCCATGTTTTCATGCATAAATAAAATTTTATTACCCACACTAGACGCATACAAACCCTTAATTTGGTAAATGTATAAATTGTTTGAATTATTTTACGTGTATTTGAAAGGGTGTATGCTTATGTAATAAGTAAAGTGTATATTTATAGAGGTTTATTAGAATTTGATAATTTTCTTTGAATTTTATATTTGAATTTCAATCTTCTAGGTGAAGGTTATCTTTTATTTTCTTTACAGATCATTATCTACAAATAAAATCTCGCGCAAGGCACGGGTAATACACAAATTTTTTAAAAAATGTCACTAAAATTATAGTATCATTTATGTTTGGATTAACTATTCTATATTAGGTTTTAGATTTTAAGATTTAGGGTTGTTAGGGGTCAAAATTTCACATCGATCTAATATAGTGAAATTTACAAATATATAAAGAATTGAACATTACGATGATATCTTGCAAAAATTTTACAACCAGTAAGACAATCGTTAATAGGAAAGTTGACACATAAAATTCGGGTTCTTAGAGCTGCATCATGTAATTCTATATTTTGTTGTTATAGTTTCATATCCTAATTTCTTTTTGCTTCTCATATTTTACAAAACACTAATAATATATAAAAAGAGCATCAAGGCTTTTCTTGTATGCAGCCATTTTTTATTTAGGGATCATTTCCACTTTTATTTATTTTCTCTTTACTATTTGTGATGTTTCAGAAAGTTATAGTGAGGCAAGGGTTAGTTAATTAAAGTTATGGTGTTATATAATGCCGGGGCCGAATGTACATACTGATCATATAGAGATTATTTATCATTGTTTTTTTTACAATTTATTTATTACAACATTAAGTTAGAGAAAAAGATATTATGTAGTCGAACTCTAGTAGAATGAAGTTGTTTATTGTCGAGATAAGGCAAATCAAAGGTGAGTTGATGGCTGTAACCGTAGAAATGATCTCTTTTTAGATATTTCATGTTTACAAATCCGCTCTATTAGCTATTTAATCATACTAAAAGGGACTATAAAACCGAATTCTAATAGAATATGTCGTATATGTGGTCATTTAACCATTTGACGAAATAAATTTTCTCTGTAATTTGTTTACTTTTTATTTCACAAGTCATTGATTGAATGTGATGATTACTTACTGTAGGAACATACTGGCAAAAATTTGCATATTGCAGTTCTGCAAATGCAATAACCTCAAATCACAAACATACTTTGTTGAAGATGCGCACATTTATAAAGAAGGTGTATGTGTTTAGTGTTTACCTATGTATCATTAGATGTTATTGAGTCAGTTTTTATCACAATATAAATATGGATCCATGTAACACTTTTCTAGACGTATAATCAGTTGTAACCATATACACAACAGAATCAAAATAAATGATTCAAAATTTTCTTTAATTTTATATTTGTGATTGAAAAAAGAAGTGATTTGTTCGGAATCGATATCTGTTATGCGAAGTATCAGTGGTCTAATAAAATTCAAAATGATAGAGAGCATCAAAGTTGATATGGCCGAGTAGGTCTAAGGCGCCAGATTAAGGTTCTGGTCCGAAAGGGCGTGGGTTCAAATCCCACTGTCAACAATTACTTTTTTGGGTTACTCAAAATTTTGCATTGATCTTCAGCCCAATAATTCTGGGCCCAGTATCAGTCGTGTCAGCGACATGTGATTACAATGTGAGAGAGGCTTAAAGGGCAAATATGTCATTTTAGTAATCAGATATTTTCTCCCGAGTCTCGAGATATTTTTTCTTGGAACGACCGAAGAGAAAAATATCTTTTCCTCGCATCGTCGCAATAAACAAAAAAAAGTGTCACGTGATGTGTCTCCAACCAACCACTGCCATTTTAACCAAACCCCTTAACCATGGTTAAACCAATCTTCACTAAAACCGACCCTAACCCTATAAAATATCTTGACCTTAGTTAATATCTCAGCCCCCTTATAAATTGATTCTTCGTCTTCCTCAGTTCTTCACAAATCTCACTTCTCCTCTTCACTGTAAACCCTAGATCTCTCTTTTCTCTTTCAATGGCGTCCGCAGATGTTGAGTACCGGTGCTTCGTTGGAGGTCTAGCCTGGGCCACCGATGACAGAGCTCTCGAGACTGCCTTCTCTCAATACGGCGACGTTGTTGATTCCAAGGTCTGTTACACGCAGAGATCGGACAACCGGAGGATTCCGATGATCTGATCCTCGACGGATCTGTTCCGATCTGTGTTTCTCTGTTACTTGATTCGAATTACTGTTACTATGTTCTCTCGTTCTTTGTTACTGTTACTTGTTTTTCCCTTAATCGGTACGTTCATCTTCCTGCTTTCATGAGCCCGGAGATCGATCGGTTTTTTTTTTTTTTGAAAAATTTGTTCATGCTTTGTGTTCTTCTATGTTGGATTTGTTTGCTGATCTGTTTTGTTTTTTATTGACAGATCATTAACGATCGTGAGACTGGAAGATCAAGGGGTTTCGGATTCGTCACTTTCAAGGATGAGAAATCCATGAAAGATGCGATTGAGGGGATGAACGGTCAGGAGCTCGATGGTCGTAGCATCACCGTTAACGAGGCTCAGTCTCGTGGAAGCGGTGGCGGAGGCGGCCGTGGTGGAGGTGGCGGTGGATACCGCAGCGGAGGTGGCGGAGGATACGGAGGAGGTGGCGGAAGCTACGGAGGTGGTGGTGGCGGAAGCTACGGAGGTGGAAGACGCGAAGGCGGTGGTGGCGGTGGATACTCATCAAGAGGAGGTGGTGGTGGTGGCGGAAGCTACGGTGGTGGAAGACGCGAGGGTGGAGGTGGATACGGTGGGGGTGAAGGTGGTGGTTACGGAGGAAGCGGTGGTGGTGGTTGGTAATTAGATTAGATCGGAATTATGACTGTTATGGTTTCTGGATCTGCTTAATGGTTCTATGTGTTTGTCTTTGGTTCTGCTATTTTGGATGTAACAGTTCGTGATTAGGTATTTTGATATCTGGAATCGTAATGTTAAATCTCTTTTCCTTCTCTTTTTATAACTCTTAGCCATGTTCTTTCTCTATGGAGTAGACTCGTCCGTTTATCGGTTAAATTAATATGACTTAATCAAACAGTCGAGACAACAAAGATACTCTCAACGTACTAATAAATGTGAACATACAATAAGTAAACATAAAAATGTTAATACTTTGATTAGTATTGAATTATTTGTTTTTGTTACAAAATAGAACGATCTCTTATGTTAAACGAACATAGATGTGTG